CTGTGGTCTCTCACCTTCTTTAACCCACCTGGTCTTCGGCAGGGTGGTGTTCTGACACTGGCTCAGGCTCCTGCAGCTCTACAGCCAGACCCCTTTCTAGGCTTCAGCTCACCTAGCCAAGCCCGGCTCCACCAGGCCTGGCAGTGCAAATTAAACCCAGGTTAAAGGAGAGCTGTGAGATACTGCAAACCTGCATTCAGCCACAGCTGAGCTGTAAACCAGCTCCTGCTGATGCTCATGCTAGGAAATCAGGCCACGGGAATAGTTCTGAGAGGTCGATCTCCAGTGTTTAAAAAGAACTTTTCTATATGAAATATTACACATGGATGTTTGTGTGTGCCTGCATGCTTTTGAAATAATGTTATCCATCTGCGTTTCTGTATGCAAATAATTGATATATGTTTTATGTGCCTGTGCACATACAKACTTGCAGTCACACACAGACTGGGTGAGGGGCATTAGATTAAGCTGACTGCAATAAATTTAAAAAGCAGATTTGATAATGACCCCAAATATGGATCCAAGTGTTCCTTCTTCTGCCACTCATTGATCTAATGGATTTCATGTTTGTAACCGGCAGTGGTTTGTATTGTAAGTATTTTTTGTTCACTGCCTTAGGAAAAACAAGAGCTACTAGAACATAAYCCATACCATATTTGCAGTTGTAATTGCCATGATGTGTCCCCCTGCCCCCAAAGCAATCACCAGTAGTGGGTTACTAATAGTTTGGAGCAGTTGCACTTTAATTTAAGACAGCAAACACTGGGGCAGAAATCCTCAGTCACTATGCACACAAATTCAATGATATATTGTATGCATATTAATCTATTTTAAGAGCAACATGATATTCTAGATCCTCAGTCAAGTGCACAGTGCTGTTAGAAGGGAAGCGTAATTTGCTTTTACTCACGAGGGGGAAAGCTGAGACAACAGATCAGCATCTGAGCTGGGAGCAGATCTGCCATATTGAGTGTGGCAAAGTTATAGGACCGCTCGAAATTGGAGTCCGGTGAGAACGCGTGACCGGAATTCCGACAGGAATTCCGCGCGTTCGGGGCGGTTTCCCGGCTCCGTACCGGTCGCGCGGGCACCGGGGGAGCGCTCCGTGGTCGCCCAGACGGGCGAAGCGGCGCGTGGAGCAGGCGCCGACGATACCGGTCCCGCCGAAGCCGCGACTCCGCCACTCGGGAAGGTCCCCGCACTGCGCGTGTTGCGGCCGCGGCGGGCACAGGCGGGCACAGGCGGGGCCGGCCGCGCTCCCCCCGCGGCTCCTCAGCCGTCACAGAAGCCTCCGGACGCTACACGGCGCACCCGCCTCACGCCGACCAGGTAAGCCCTCTTACGGGACTTTGTTTATGGCTTCTCACARCTCGTAGAGTTGCCGGCATCCCAGGGCGGCACGGCACAGACGAGGGGTACAGCTGGAGACACGAGGGGAGGCGCAGGGGCCCTACCCACAGCCTTATCCCTACCCTTACCCTAACCAGAACCCCAGAAAAACTCCTGTTTCCAACACGTTAGGACAACGCAGCAATTGCAATGCCGGGATGAAGGCAGAAGCCACACAGCAGGTAAAGACAGTAACCCGAACGCCAGGGCAGTGCCCGAAGCACCAGCACAGGTGAAAGCAGTAACTCCAACACCGGCAGAACCAACCCTGGAAGGCTCCCGGCAGCACAGCGCACCAACCCTAACACTGGGAGAACCCTAGGCCCTGCACAGAAGGACAAGACACGCTCCAAAAAGGTAGGGATGTCGTCTGTGGGTAGAGAGTGGCAGGTAGGGGTCGGGGACTGAGGGGTAGCCAGCAGGAGTTGGGGCTACAGGGCAGAGTAGGCAGGGTCCAGGTCTAGGGGTCCACGTATCTAGGATTTGCGGTCCAGGACTAGGGGTGCACAGTGCAGGATTAGGGCTACAAGTGTCCTGAATTATGGATCCAGGTGCAGGCACTGGGGGGCCCTTTTCCTGGGGAAAACAAACGCGGCCCCCTCGTGTCTCCAGGTCAGAGGCCCCTCTCTGGCTGCACGGGCAGGCAGAGTCGCAGTTGCTAACGGCTTTGGTCCGGGAGAGATCCTGCTCCGTTCGCCATTTGAGGGGGTGGCGTGCTGCAGGTGCTGCTTGTAGGAGGTGTTACTGGTGCTGTGTAGGGCTCTTCTGGGCTCTTTCACTGGGCTGAAAGTGTTTTTCAATTTTCTTTTTGAAACGTTTTGGAATGGCAGTGGTGTTTGAGTGAGTGATGTGCTGGAGAGCAGGTATTGGGTGGCCCCAGGTGAGGCTGTGGCAGGGGGCTCTGAGAGGCTGTCGTTCTCTGGCTTTCATGGGGTTTGCCTCAGAATGCCAAAGCTTTTCCCAGTGCAGAGTTGAAAGAGAAGGTTTGCTTGAATTTCTTTAYTTTTTGACCTCATTTGATAGTGAGTTAGTGGGGTCTTGTTTTATGTTCTGTATCGATTTGTACTCTTGATCAGAGTTTCCTGTGGTGCTGGTGGAGTGCAGAGGTTTTTGCTCCTTGCTGGGGGAGGAGTTGCCTTGGGAGCCTTCTTAATAAATCAGAGTAGTGCTGGGTCTTGGTGTTTGTGCAGGAAGAGCAGGACTTGGGCTCCAGTAAGGAGCTGGGCTGTGTTGGTCAGGGAAGGCCCAGAGCCTTTTCTGCCCTCATTTCTCCACTCTTTAATTGGTTGTTGTGTGTGGCTCTRTGGGGGGTCAGTGTTTGGGCAGCAGCTGAGAAGTTGTGCTTTCTTTGCAGGAGATGTTGCTGCTCCCATATCACTGCTTGGAGTAGGTTACAAATGGAGATGGAGCTCAGATGGATTTGTGCTTTTTGCCCAGGCCTTTGGCAATCAGCAGTGAGCTTATCAGGGTGACCAGCACCCCAGGACCCAGTCTGGGGTCGCTAGTTCTGTTCATAATAGCTGTTTAGGTGAAATATAAATTGGATTATGGTTTATTGCACACCAGAAAATAATGGAGTAAGGTATTTGTGGCAAATTATATACTACACAGAAATAAAATAAAAGAAACCATAGTAGACTAGATACAGCAGTTTAAAATGCAGCGTGSAGTAAAGGTACCTGTGAGTTCAGCTAGCAAAGAAATACCACAAGTTAGGATTTTATCTATATTTTATTAATCCAGTCGGTAGTGGGAGCATACATTGGCGTCCTTTCCCTCAATCCCTGGAGAAGTAACTCAAAGTCCGCGTCCAGACTTTGAGGAGAGGCCCTTACACGCTTCCAGTATGTCTGTGAGAGGCTTCTGCGTCTTGCAAATTTTGTGCATCTTTTATAGAGCAAAACTGAGCCTCTGGTCACTGTTAATATTTTATCTTTCTCCATACCTACCCTCCATGCCAAGGTGTTCTTTCCTGGTCAGGTGCTCAGACCTGGGTGGGAAAGGAAATGACCCAGAACTTCTTGGGCTCCTGGGAGTCAGAGAGAAGCAGCAAACGAAGGTGGGAGAGTTTCTGTGAGGCCCGGTTTGTGAGTCTGGTTTGGTGTCGTCCCTTTGTCCCCTCTTTGTCAGCATGCCCAGCTGTGTTTGAGGCTGCTGTGGTGAACGCTGCTGTAATTTGCAGATAAAATTCAGTCTCCCAGCAGAGATGGGCAGGATTGTGAAATCCACAGGAGGTGTTCCCATGGCCATTTGCGTCAGTGCTGTCCTGTGTGCCTTTGTTCTGCTGTCAGTGTTAGAAGAGGGACTCGTTCACTGTGGATTTCCTTTGTTGTCCCTGGGGGTACAGGGGGTTCAGACTCGACCCAGAGGAGACTCCCAGTGTAGTTTTAGTGGTTGCTGCCGTTGGGTATCCCAAGTGCTTTGTTTAGTGTTGATTTGGTGAGATAAATGGCTGCACGTGATTTCCCTCTGGAGTTTTCCCAGGAAATCCTTCCCAAAAGCCTTTCCTTGCTCATATTGTTGAGATGTTTCTATTCCGACTCYCTGGGTAGCTCAATAGCTCCGTGGTGCTGTGCTCTGGTGTTGCCCAGAGCTGATGGGTTTTCCTTTAGGCAAACAGCTCCTTCAGGATGTGCTTCAGCCCAAACATTTCCTTGAGCAGGATCCTGGCAGAGGTGTTGGGGTCACTGTCTCAGCAGTTCTTCCTGGTTTCCAGGCTGTTTTACCCAGCTGCTTCCGGGCAATGGCCGAGTGTGATGCTGAGCAAAATTGCTGCAGTTGGGCTGTAAATACAATTTATCCAGAGCTTGCTCTATGAACTTGGGCATCACAGGTGTAAATGCTGAGGCATTTGTGAGTTTGCTGGAGCTTGTGAAGTACCAAGGGCTGAACAACAGGCCCTGAGCTTGACATCACCTCTGGATGAACCTTTAAACCAAATGCTGTGTCAGTGTGCACTCATTAATGACATAATTGGGGTCGTTATTGAGCCATGGCTTTACCTTCCCAGTTCTGGGAGGGCCTCTCCCAGGGGAGAAAGGCTTGGCTGGGCATGGGGCCTTCCCAGCTGCCGTGGGGCTTTGGAGGATGGTGCAGTCTTGGGGTCCCTGGTGCTGAGTCTCGGTCCCTGGGGGCAATCTTTGGTGGTAGCAAGGACGAGGTGCATTGCTGAGCTTCTCCTTGTGAGATTCCTTGCTGCTGGGAGCTGTAGGAAATGACATTTGATTCCTGAGGTTGGTGTCTGTGGTTTTGGTGCTGACCTTGCCCACTGGCAGAAGGCCTCTGCTGCCCCACACATATCCTGTCAACTGTGTTGGTTGGATCTTTAAGGGGAAGTTTGGTTCTGCAAGTTTGAGATGAAAATTCTGTTTCGATTTGCATCTTGTAGGAAAACTGGAGTGGAATGTGGCCGCTGGAGGGAGGTGTTCCCTGAGCTCTTGGCACCAGTGGTGTCCTGTCTCTGTGCCTCCCTCGTTAGAGGAGGGACTTGTTCGTGGTGGTTTCTTCCGCAATCCATGGGGGTACAGGTCCTAAAGGAGATCTCCTAAAGGAGGGGGGCACTTTCTGGGAGCACTATTGGGATAACAATCTCAGTAGTTTTTCGTGGTTTCCAGGCTGTTTTCCCCCTGCTCATTCCAGGCAATTTGAGAGTGATGCAGGGCATAGAGTCTGCATGTGGACAGTAAACAAGAGTTCAGGCAGAATTTGGCCCTTGAAGGTTTCTATTGCGGATGTCAGACCTCGGGCAATGTCAGTTTGCCTTCAGTTGCAGGGATTCAGGTGTTTAGGCCTGGAATTCTCATGGGTCAGTTTGCTTCAGGCCATGCAGTACTTGTGCAGGTGGCACACGACTGCCAGCACTGCGGAGCTGAAGGCTGGGGCTGCTTCTGTTCTGCACTGGGAACTGGGAGCCCTTTTGGAGGGCTGGGGGTGACACCTTGGGACGGGCTGGGGAAAGCCGAACTGGGATCTTCTCCCTCCCTGACATTTGGGACCAGGCAATCAGGAAAATCCAGCTTTATACTGAACTCGGGATTGCTTGGGGAAAGCAACCCTAACCCCTAACCCTAACCCAGACTTAAATTGGCTTCGAATCCTGACTCCTGAGGCACAAGAGGCACTGAATGAAGTTCGCCAGGCTGTTTCTATGAGATAAGTTTATAGAATTGATCCTTCCATTGACACCGCTGTTTTTATTGTTATTCCAGACTTTCATCCCACAGGCATAATTGGCCAGTGGAATGACCAGTGGCCTGACCCATTACACATTTTGGAATGGAGCTTTTTGSCTCATCAGCCAAAAAAGACGGTTGCTACAGTGTTTGTGTTGATTGCTCAGCTGATAATCAAATGCCGTGAGTGATGTTTGCAGCTCATGGCTAAGGACCTTAAAAAGATTGTACTTCCAGTACAGCAGGAATAWTTGGAGTGGAGCTTTGCTRAATCTGCTCCCTTACAGGCAGCATTGCAAAATTTCTTGGGGCAAGTGACTTATCATTTGCCTAGCCACAAGCTGCTTCAATTGGCAAATTCCACCCCTTTATCTTTGCCTCCAAAAAATAGCCGTGTGCCGTTACARGGGCTGACAGTTTTTACAGACGGGTCAGGGAGAACTGGAAAAGCCATTGTTACTTGGCAGGATGAGTCTGGGTGGCAGGTCCTGGAAGGCCATGAGTCTGGCTCTGCTCAGCTCGTTGAGTTGAGGGCCGTGATGATGGCATTCCAGCGATTTGCTCATATGCCATTGAATCTTGTTACTGATTCTGCTTATGTTGCTGGAATTGCCCAGCGCTTAGATTGCTCATTGCTGAAAGAAGTTAACAATGTCGCTTTGCTTTCCCTGTTGAAATCTTTGTGGTCTGCGATTCAAGAACACCTGCATCCTTACTACATCCTGCATGTTCGGAGTCACAGTACGTTGCCAGGGTTTGTAGCAGAAGSTAACTCTAGAGCTGATAAGCTCGCAAACCTGCCTGGGTAGCACCGCAGCCCGACAGTGTGGTGCAAGCTAAGGCATCACACGATTTTTTCCATGAGAGTGTGCGTACTTTGTAGAAACAATTTTCCCTTGYTCTCAATCAGGCTTGGGACATAGTCAGCTCATGTCCTGACTGCCAGGGATTCACTGCACCTCTGCCTGTGGGTGTCAATCCCAGGGGTTTTCAAGCGTTGCAGCTCTGGCAGACAGATGTCAGTCACATTGCAGAGTTTGGTCGCCTGAAGTATGTGCACGTCTCCATTGACACCTTCTCTTCTGTTATGTGGGCATCTGCTCATGCAGGAGAGAAAAGCCGTGATGCTATCCCGCACTGGCGAATGGCTTTTGCAGTTTTGGGTGTACCATTGTCCATAAAGATGGACAATGGTCCTGCCTATACCTCTCAGAGAGAACTTGGTTCTCAGAGAMYCAGGAGGTTCTTGCAGTTATGGGGTGTGWCTYACAAATCTGGTRTCCCTCMYTTGCCTGCAGGTTAAGCAATAATCGAATGTACTCACAGTACCTTAAAATGTGTTTTGCAGAAACCAGAAAGGCCAAAAAGCCTTTAATACAATTAATCACVTTATGGTGCATTCTGATTCTAACATTCCAGTTTTTTKAAGCATTTTCTGTCTTTGCAGTTGGAAGCAGCAGTGACCCTTCCCCGAGGAAAGGTTTGGGTAAGAGACCTCCTAACCAGTAATTGGGAAGGTCCCTGGGACCTCATCACTTGGGGGTATGGGTATGCTTGTGTTTCCACAGATACCGGACCTCGCTGGGTGCCAGCACGGTGTRTGAGACCTGATTTGAAGCAGAACGAATGCAGAAACGATGATGGCACAGGTTAGAGTTCTTCTGACCATCCTCATCGTCGCCTCCATGGCAGCCTGGAGTTGTGGTGGGAAGGAGCAGCACTGATGCCCTCTCTGCCTAAAGGGAATATTCGGGTGACTCTAGCTCATGCTTTGAATCAATCATCTGTGTGTGTGTCGCTTGCTACGCCTTGCTCTCCTTTTCAGACATGCTTGCTAGGAGTGCCATTGCAAAATGAGACATTAATACGGGCACTAGCGAATGGAACAATGGGACGAGGGGAAGCAAGGCTGACACCACCTATCCTCATGAAGCACAGGAACTAGATTTATTGGGGTGTCTTCATGCACTTGCTTGCGTGATGTTTAAGATATGCCCTGCTTGGTACAGGGAGTGCTACAAAGGAGTGGYAGCTGGATTGATGGGTTGTTTGACAAATGGGGCTTCTCAGTGTGGCTCAGGGATATGCTGAGGACGGGTGGAGTCATSTTGCTTGTGATATTGTTAATGTTGTTGTTGGAGCTGTGCTTGCTGTCTTTTCTGCAAAGGTCCTTGCAGAGGCCCATAAACACAGCATTTTTGATTCAAAACAGAAAAGGGGACCTGTGGGAGAAAAAATTGGCCCCACAAGCCCTGAATGTGAAATGCAGGCAATTATTGTGTATCACTGAGTCCTGGGAAAAGAAAGGGAGTGTTAACAGCCTACATGGAGGAGGAATACCACATTCTTGGCTACTGCTGAGAAAAGGAAATTGGAATGTAGAATCGATAATGCAGGTGGCTGGAAATTATAAACATTAGTAGTACTGTAGCTTTTGCAAACTCACCAATTATGTTCTGAAGACTAATTAAACAGCTGTCTCTTAACCAGTGTATGGTTGACACAAATGTATATTCTGATTGCTAAAGTGGATAAAAGAGGCTTGTCTCACAATAAACTTCCTTCTTTCTGTCTGGTTTTTTTCACTTAGTTTTGTGTGGTTTGTATCTATTATTTTATGTTGCTGTTTGGGCAGCAGCAACAAAAAAATCACACAAGAAAGGTCAACACACAAAGTCACAGGACATCACAGAGTGTCCCTGAGTGTCCACAGCTGTCCCCCACACCTCCACCTGCCCCTTACACCCACCTGGCCTCTGCTATCCCTTGGCAGTGCACCCCAAGATCACTCAGAGCCACCCCAGAAATTGATACCTGATCGATAACCGCTCCTATCTGATCCATTGTAAACCAAACACATTCCCCTCTGTCCACTCGTCACTTTGGTCTATCTGTCCTGACCAATTGCTGTAATTGCAAAAATAACGGTAAAGAATGTTTGTGAGGTTGAAGAATGGGATCCTCTAGCTGTTAACAAAAGCATCAGGACCTGAGGTATCACTGCCCTTTTTGAGGATAATKGACAGGAATAAATAAATTTTCATTCATTGGCCCTTAAGAAGCTTGGGCATGTTCTCTAATTAGCAAAAGTGAGCAAAACCCACCTTTTCCTACTACTGAGGACATGTCATCTTTATGACCAGACATTTATTGTCAATCCATAGTGCCTTATGGACACTGATACCAAAGCCAAGTACATTACTTAATGATTTAATATTAATGTAAATGA